ATGTTATCGCCTTAGATGTAAGACAAGCAAACTTCAAGAGCTCCTCTGAAAATTTCGAACCTTGCGCCAATCATTTCGTAAATTACCCGAAACCTCATTTTTCGTAACTCTACCAAATGCAAACATAAATGGAAATATTCTCTTATTAGCCACTAACATTGCTGATTGTCTGGAAGAGCTTAGCAGACAAGTCCTTGAGGGCTTTCTTCTCCTCTTTGGGCTTAGCGGAAATAACGGTGTTGAGGTCATAACGGAGGTACTCAGCCCTCAAACGAAGGTCGTTTTGGACATAAGGCCAGGCCTTCTTGTCAATTTGGGCCTTCACGGCAAATATCTCCTTAGCCGACTCCTTGGCCCGAGCAGCAGCCTCGGCCGGTGTCTTTGGCTGAAGGTAAAACCGGTCCTTGAGGGGTAGATTAAAGTCTCTCGCCTCATCCGAGTTCAAGGTTCCAGCTGTTAATTGGTCATGCATTATACATTACACTTATCACGAATAACTTATATAACGAATCACGAAAAACTTTCGACGAACTTCCACAATCTCGAACACTGTCTTATAACTACTTACTGCAAAAATTGAATCAGTCCTGTATTTAGACCATATTATGAGCAATCATGTAGGATTGTGGCCACATACACATGTGGGTCTTCTATTAAGCTGGTCTAACTATTAAACCAATATATACATTTTTTTTTCTTTTTCACAAATATGTTTGTTTAATTAAAACATTTAATTGAGTAATACAAGAGTTCGTGAAAATAAAATGGTACTACTTACGCAGTCCACCGGAGGGTGGGGGCGGCGGTCCAATCTTGATCGGCTTGGCTTCAGCCAGCACGGCTTGAACAAAGGAAACAGATGCAATCCCGGCAGCAACAAGCCCTAGCATGGCTCGGCGTGACGGCTCGGTCTCAACTGAGCTCGGCTGCTGTTGGGCTCCAACCCTGAGCCCTGGCCTGGCCTGGCAGATTCTTGCGGCGTTGGTTCTGCTCAAGCGGCTCGACCGGAGGCTGCCGTCGAAGACAGGTTGAGACGAGCCGCGCTGCAGGCAACCCATTGATGCCATTGGCTGTTGAGCTGACCTTCTTTTATTTGTTTTTTCGCTTTCTTTTTCGATCAAAATCAGAAAAAAAAAAAAATGTTGGAGATTCCGAGATTGAAATAAGGGAAATTGAGGATAAGTGTTTCAAGCCATCGTGTGATGTAGAAAACGCCTTATCCGACTGTGATAACGCTCTCAGCCAATCAACTGCGGGAGTCTTGACAGGTGTGATTAGGTTCCATTGCGGCCAATTAAACCGACACACGTGGATAGAATACAAGAACATGAACATGAACATGAACATGAACGATTATATGCACCTATAAATGACAGGTGGTCGTACCGATCTAGCCGGTATGCGGTATTATTTATTGGGCCAGTAATCTATATCTATATAATGGACCAATCCTTATTGCTATAATTGTCATGATTTTTGGCGGGAATTTTTTTCGTCTATATTTGAGATTTGATTAATATTTATTTATTAGCAAATCTTATGTATGAAAAACATAATTAATTTTTATACACTCAATAATTGTTACTCATTAACTACAAATTGGCTTAAATTGAAATATTGACCGTAGATTTATTAGATATATTTTCAATAAGATCTTATATTAATTTATTAGTAATTATTGATACAATTCAAAAAGTTATTATGGAAATTGATTTGATTAAATATATTATCATCTATGGTTGTAGGTATTAAACTAATTAATTATATTCACTATTTATAAGTACTTAAAATACTTAAAAAAATAATAATAAGAATAACTATATTTAAATCATAATAACTTAATAAATAATTTAAATATTAATAAAAATTTCTAAAATTTAGTCAATTTAAGTATAAAAAAGTACATCCCATTGAATATATCATATAATACTATTGAAATTCAAATAATATATTAATAAAAATAAAATTTGATGGTTGGTGCAATTCATAATTATAAGTTTCACCTTAGAAGTATCTATGAACATTAAAAATATATTTTTTTTCTTATATACTATTTTATAAAGAAAAAATAAGTTAATAAAAAAAACAATGTATGATAATATAAAGTATAGCACTTGGTAATTATGGAAATATATAATATATCTAAATATTTGAATAGATACTATATAACTCATTATATAGGTTAAAAAAATGAATTAAAGAAATAAATATAAATAAAAATGAAACATAAAAATAAAATATTTAACCATAAGAATTTATGTGTTGCATAAAAATTAAAGTTACTAAAAATTAAAATTTATTTATCAAAGTTTTGAACATTTAATGCACTTAATAATTATAGCAGAAAATAAATATTATGGGTTAAACGTTGGTCAGTTATCAAGCATTATGTGCAAATTATGAATTATTTAAAAAAATATAAGACTAATGATAAACGGTAAATTTATAAGTACAAACAAGTAATTTGTATACAAATATTATATGATCTTTTACATTTATAATATTTTATAAACAAATAAATAATAAAATTTATATATTAATTAGTCAAAAACAACAAAAAAGAATATATAAAAATATAAATTTAAAAAAATGGTAAATAAATGTCATATTATTACTTAATAGGATATTGTGGAGAATAATTTCATATTGTCTTAAATAATTTTATAGTATTTAAGTAAAAAAATATATCTTTCTATTGCACCCCGTGCTTCGCACGGGTATCAACACTAGTATAGATAGTATTATCAAACTAGTAAATATAATGATATATATAAATATACATAAAAATATATAATATCAAATGCAAAAAAGTAAAAAAAAAAATAAATGACTATGATCATTAATTTTAACTATATAAAAAAAAATATTTTAAAGCAATTTAAATTTTATGTCTTAAAATTAATAATTTTTTTTTTTTGAAATTTATTTTGTTGGCCGGTATTTGGACTGGTATTTTTCGGTATTTACGGCATGATTTCGGTACAAAATGGTATAACCGTAAATCTGGTTTTTTGTGTGTAATTGTTCATACCAATGGCCGGAGCTTTAGCTCGAAAAAGAGATTTCCCAAGCCTCATAAAAAGACCAAGTTCATCCCGGACCCCAAACATTCTAAGGGGAAAGAGGCTGACAACTCACAGGCTAACGCCGACCCTCCTTGACAACGAAGCGCAACTTAGTGGTAAGACGTTTCATCTATGATCTATCGGGCATAGGTTTGAGTCACCTAAATGCAAAAGT